CAATCATATATCCCTCTCTGGGTTCTTCACAGTATGTATTCTGCTGAGCTAACAGTCCACTGTTTAGCTTTGAGAGTTTGCTCGCATTTGGCCTTGAAGCTATCATACTTGTCTTTGTGACAGGATTCATAGTGTCGCCTCAGATTATATTCTCTGAATACCGCCACCGCCTCTTTACAGATGAACAAAAAAAATAATCGTTTGTCCACTGCAGCTTAAATGTCCTGCATTCTAAATCAGTTTTTCTCTTACCTAATCTTTTCACCATTATTCCGTTCTCTCTTTGAGAGGGGCAGGTTTAGGATGTTTTTTTCTGGGGGTTGCCAGATAGGGGCACAGACCGCAGAAGGGTGGAACAGAATGTCACTTTATATGTGTGTATGTATGAAATAGTTACTAACTTATAATAGTTAATAATGAAAATAGTTCATAACTAAGGAACACTTTATTGCAAAAGTCCGACTTTATAATCAAATATAAATACACATATATGAAAAAAAAACTGTGCTCTCTGGTATTGTTCTTGGGGTCGGACCAATTGGGGAGGCAGGCCGTAGTTTGGGAACCACTGTCTTAAACCCATTGAACTAGCATTTTTATAATCACTTTCCAGATTATTCCACAATCTTATTCCCTGAACCGAAGTACATCGATCCTTCAAGTTTGATTGAATTCTAGGTTTCACAAACATCTCAAGTCCTTTAAGATTAGAAGAACTTTCTCTCTTAACAAAATATAACTGGACGTTTAAAGGCAACATTTTTTGAGCCTTATACACAAGCTGCAATATATTATAATCAACCAACTCATAAAGTTTTAATAATTTTAATTTACAGAATAATTTATTTGAAAGGTGACTGTAATGTTTCCTGGTGATATTTCTTACTGCTCTTTTCTGTAAAATAAAAATAGGATTTGTGATTTGTTTTACATGCTTTACGTCAGACTTTATTTGAGTCTCAGAGGCTCCTGCAGGTGAAATATATGACGACTCTGTAGAATTACCCAGCATGTAGCAGTAGGTGAGTGCATCTGTCTGAATGTAGATCATTGTGTCTGATTGCACCTTGATGCTGTCTCTGATGTGAATGTTGTGACAAGCCTTCAGTTTCACACCCACACACGAGCCGGGACACACACTGACATCATCTGGTTTCAGCAGCAGCACCCGCTCTCTTCTGTCACCGAGGTGCCGCTCTGCTCCCTCGGTTTATTTACCTGCGAAACAAAGGAAATCCAGAGCAGAACAAGGYGTCAGATAGTTTCCTGTCCGTGTTTTCATGTTGTAAACAAGATTAATGATGCAGAAGATGACCTGACAGCTTGTTAATGTCAACACAACAGAATAATAATTTAAACATACGTTCAGAACTCACCTGGATCTGTGGAATCAGGACATGAAGTTCAGACAAACRGTGATTAGGATGGAGCGCAGGCGCTCCACACGCCGGCCTGGAGCAGCCTGAATCTGGCAGATGAATCACTGTGGAGGAGTTCGACCAAAATTACACTTCAGAGTGGCGAAAATCTCCTCACATGTTTGTGTGTAGGTGAGATAACTCTTAGATAACAGGGCTGTGAGGCACTACTCGTGTTTTAGTCTCTGCGCTCAGCCTGGAGTGTGGACCGGAACATTATTTCACTTTAAATAATGCTTCTACAGCGCACGTCTGGTCAGGTGTGTTTGCCTGTAAATAATAAACAGGATGTAAATAAATAAATGACTCATGACACAAAAACACAAAGCATGTCAATGATAATACATATGTTAGTTAATAATGAACTGAACAACACAGAGCTGACTATCAGTTTGTATTTAGATGAAAATATTCTTTAACGTGTTTTAAAAGCTGAACATGTTCAGTAGAGACGTGACGAACGACAGGAACCGAGTCGCAGGAAGAAAACAACCGTTTGTAGTTTTTATTTCTTTGTTGTATCTTTAGTTTTTTAATCCTTAACCTCAAAAACAATCGCTCCCACTTCAGCATTTATCCCAACTCAGTCTCACACACACATGTTTGTTTCTCGACCCCGTGGGGACCTTCCATTGACTTCCATTCATGTTTTTATGTTTTTTAGACTTTATATCCTAACCCTGACCATATACTCTAAAATTAACCTCACAGAAACTTTCCTGACCCTAAAACTAACCTAAACCTTGGTCCTAAACCTAACCCCACACCTGCAACATGCATTTGGACCCGTGGGGACCTGTCATTGGTCCCCATGATTCACTTTGGTCCCCACCTGGCTGCCTTTTTTTTGTAAAAAAATACCCCACGTTGTAGGAAAACACACACACACACACATACACACACACACACAAAGATAACTTAAACTACACGTCTGGATCCACAACTCCCTCTCACTGGCTCCCATTTTCCACATTTTAAGTCAAATAAAATTAGCRTTAAAAACAAGTCTGTTCAAATACAAGGTTTGCTTTTTCAAAAACAAAGTTTTTTTTCACATTTTTTCTAATTTAACCTGTAATAGATAGATAGATAGAATTTTTTGTCATTATACGGGAGTACGACGACATTAAGCATCAATGTTTATAGTGCTAACCACAATAAAAACACAAAATACAATAAAACACAATTAAAAACTATAAACAAATAAAACATTCAATACTTACACAATAGATATGAAAAATATCTAAAGAAAGAAAGAAAAGAGGCTCTATAGTTATACATTTTTAATATTTCATTAGTTTTTATATTTATTGTTTTCTGCTCTTGGAATAATTTAGCTTCTATCAGAAGCTGAACCAATCAGAATCTGTTGTCCTTCACAGGAAAGTCCAGGCAGAGCCCGTCCTCGTTAGACACCCAGCACAGCTACCTGTGGTACCAAAACGCCTCCGACAGCGACAAGAAGCCCCTGGCTCAGACCACCACCCTGAAGACCGGGCCCAAGGCGGAGTCCACCTACGACTCCTGGGACGTCATCATGGGACTGCGCCCGCCGTCCCCCACCCAGGAGCCCCGCAGGCCGGCTCCTACGCTCGCCTGGACTTCGCCGGGCTTTTCCGCAGGCGGTCAGGACCCTGTGCGGACCCGGCCTGAGAAGCCCTCCTCTCCTCTGCGTCTCTCCAGTGACGACAACGACCTGACGATGGAGTCCGACCTCATCGAGACGACGGGTTTCTCCCAGACGTCCACCTCACTGTCGCAGGAAAGGAACTCGAACTGTCGGACGTACAGGAGACCCACCAAACAGGGTTCAGGCAAAACCTCAGACTCAAACAGCTTTTCCAGCGTCGCTGTTGGAGCAGATCTGTTCAAACCCACAACTGATGCTAACAATACCAAAAGCRGCGGCGGAGGAGGGAGTCGTGGCAGGACGAGGGACTACACAGTGCTGCACCCCTCTACCATGAACATGTGCAACGTCACCATCCAGGGCCGGCCCGTGGAGGAGACAGCCCCCGCCAGTGACGCCGGCGGTACCGCCTCRGGCAGCACGACGCAGCTGGGAGATCAGGGATGGCAGCGGAGGAAGACGGAAGCRCAAAATACCAAGTAAGGATGTAGATTGTGTCAAACTCTGAATGAGAAGATGTGATCAGACGGCAGATTAAAGGTGAACTCAGGGTTCTGATCTGACCCTGTCACAGGGAAGTCAGACACTCTAACAGTTTTTCAAAGTCATGGCATATATTATATAATAATAATAATTATATAATTTTTTTTTATTTTATTTTTTTTTTTTTTGTAAAATATTCCTGGCCATGCACATTATTTTGTTGTTTACGTTGTACCCACCTTAATGAATTCTGAATTCAACACTTTAGAAATAATGTTTGGGGATCATCATTCTGGTGTTCATAGCTGTGTATTGGTAAGGATTTGGTRATGTGATACAGGGGTCACGATATGTATTGCAATAGGGCTGCACAATATCAGGAAAACCTGCAATGTGCAATAACAGTGTCTGTTGTAGCGATGACAATATAACTTGCAATAAATGAACATACAAGTATGCAGTGATGATGTAATGCATCATTTCTATTCCAACATGACAGGTTATTAATGACTTTAAACATCACCGCCATTAAACATTTTGCTCCAAATAATGAAAAATACCCCTTACAATTAGTTTTTTTAAATAAATAATAAAAACATCTGAGATAAGGTAAGGAATTTTCAATAAAAGTTAACAAACCTAAGTCCAACTGCAAATTTGTTATTCAAATGTTTATTCGTTTCATTTAAAAACAAAACAAATTCACATACATTATACATACACATACAAATTCTGTTTCTGTCCCAACGTTTTCTCCTCACCAAGTGGTTATAATTTGACGTGGTACCTCAGGTCCATGTTGTTTATCAGACTGATGCTGACAAAATGCAGACATCTGTGCCAAGCTTTTATTGCAGTATTTTGTGATATACCTACACAGGCTGTTATCRCGATGACGATGAATTTGTGATACATTGTGCAGCTCTATAGAGTTACTGTAAGGAAGATGATATATTATAATTTTCTTTTTCTCTGAAAATTCTAAATTAAAAAAACTCAGTATGTTTTATATKTGTTTATGTTTCATATTTCTTATTTCATCCTTGTTTTCAATGGTTAGGCCACACTTTCTATTAAATACAGTAGTTCAATAATATATTTGTGGTAGCTTTTAGATTTATATTTTTTATAAAAAATATGCTCATCCAGCACTAACAACAGCTTATATTGTGTGTTAAAGTTCAGCTAATAGTTGAAATAAAGCTACAGTCTTTATTKCTGGTACTGCGAGGATGCCAGTCATTTCATATGGTCGTTGCATTTGACCACTTCAGTATCGTCCCTCGAGGGTCCCCCTCAACTCTGGGCGCTAGACAAAAGCCTTCCTGCCTGCCGTAACGTGACACTCTGATTACCTTAATTAAGCCTTAATTAAAAATCAATGCATTGATTTAGAGAATCCATAAAATATTTGATAATTCAGTGAATCAATATTTTCTTACACMTCYAGTRGTTTTTAGAGCTGAAGTCTCACATGTTTTCAGTTAGATGAGCTCTCCCTGAAGGWGTCAACCTGCAGCTCTGCAGCTCAGTTTCACAAATGCTGAGCTGAAATTAGACGTGGTCGTAGAATAACCATTATTAAAAGGTTTGTTTGTTTTTCTTCCTGAGTAAAAYTTTGTGTTCTGGGTCCAGGTCCAGGCAGACCCAGTCCAAGTCAAAGAGGGACGGTAAAAACGACCTGTTCGGTTTCGACGACACCACCTTCCACCAGGAGGAGAACAGCACCGACGGCTCTGACGGCAGGTCCACGTACAAAATCCAGTACTTCGGCTTCGACGACATGAGCGACAGCGACGGCGCCGAGGATGACTCCGGCGCCAAAGAAAGGAGGAAGGCCAAGAAGGCCATGGCCTCCGAAATCACCTCCTCGGGTACGTYGGAGGAAACCCCGGCTGACGACACGCCGGATCCCTTCGAGAGGCTGGAGAGTCGGGATTGGCCCATAGCCAAGGAGAGGAAGAAGAACTCCGAGAGGCCGGATCTCAAAAGACGAGCAGGTTAACGAGCGCGTGCGCACACACACACACTTACACACACGCACATCAGAACTTCATGAGGAAGATTTAATTGTTTTAAACTCTGATTACATAAAACCGTTGGAAACTGAGACACTCGGATCTTTTTCTTGTCTCGTTCTGTAAAGAAACATAAACCTGAAGAAGTGGCTGCAAAAAGATTGAAATGTGATTTTCCTCCTTTTGACTTTCCTTTAACAGGGTTCATGAAGCGGTCATAAATAGTC